GTTTGACTGGGACTTAAAAGTTACAATCCTTTCAGAAGGAGACTGGTGATTCTATAAGAATGTATGTCTTTATTGTGTGGATCAAGGAACTAGATGGAAATGGGAAAGTGAAAGGAAGAATGGAAAAAATGAATGTAATAGTTACCTTCAGTTGCTCTTTTTTCATTCAGAAATATGCACCTGATGCATGCATGTGTGCAATCACACACTCCAACATACACCCACAGAAGAAAGACAGAATGAAATAGAACGATGCATAACAAAGGCGCCCAAGTATAATTCATTTTCCATAAAATAAAATTCTAATCCTTATTCCACCAGCAGCTGGGATTGTAACAGCTGATTTATCTGAGTTTAAAACAGTTCAGGAAGACATGCTCTTCATTCTCTTCTGAGAGAAGAGGCAAAAGGGAAAAACAAAATAGATTTGGACAATTTTCTAAAAATCCCACCGGTAGATGAGTTTTTCCTTTTCTTACTGGCTCTCTAGCATTTGATTTCCTCTCATTCATTACACACAAACTTACAGGAGGGGATTTAAACTCTTTAATGTAGGAAACATTGTATTAGTTATGAAGGTGACGCTGATATTGCATTACTTCTGAGTATTAGTGTTTGAGAACACAAGAGTTGGCATTGATGTTCTGTTTACAACCTTTCAACTAGCATTGCATTGTTCATTGTAAAAAAAAATCCTATGTTAGATTGGCTCAGTGGGGTCCTTCTTAAGTCTAAGTGAAAACATTGGGTTGCCACACTTCATGTTAACAGGATAACTCTCTGACTGCAGGTGCCCTAAAACAGTAGAAAACTTCTGTGTACACAGTAGGAATGGTTACTATAATGGACATACCTTCCATCGGATCATAAAGGTAATTGATGGCTATTCATCCCTTTCAGTGTTTATAATATACGTTCATACACTTGGTTCAGTGAAATGGCCAAATTGAGATGCCTTTATTTACATTAGCAAAGTTGCTATAGCTTAGATTTACGTAGTTAATTATAGCCCTTTACATGTCATAACGAGTTTTGTATTTCTGAAGCAAATCTCTGCCATTTTTTAAAATTGTAGTAAAAATCCATTTAAAATTTTTGTACAATGTTTATATGAAGTTGATATGTTGCTTTTACTTTATGGATGAGTCTAATTTGGGAATCAAGCCATTAGATAAAATGATAATGATTTTTTTTTAAATAAAATAAAATAAATATTTTTTAAATGAATCTTAAGCTCCATCACTGAAACTGTGTAACTCATGCAGTGAAGTATTTAAACAATTTGAAGGCAGTTACATGTAATCCTAGACCTACAACAGTATATTTAATGTCCATTCAAAGTTACAATAGCATTGAAAAATACAACTTATAACTGTTTTTCAGTTACGACCTTTGCAGCATCCCCATGATCATGAGATCAAAATTCAGATGCTTGGCATCTGAATTCATATTTATGACCACTGTTGTGTTCCAAGGTCATATGATCACTTTTTGAGACCTTTTCACCAGAAAAGTCAATGGGGAAGCCAGATTCATTTAACAACTGGGTTTCTAACTTATCAGCTGCAATGATTCACTTAATAACTGTGGCAAGAGAAGTCATAAAATGGGGCAAAACTCACTTAACAAATGTCTCAAAGTAATTTTAGCCCCAATTGTGGTCATAATATGAGGACTTCATATGTATAATTGGAATATGCACACAAGTTTTGATGTCTAGGCAGTCTTTGGTCTATGCAGTCCTATGAGATTGGTTGTTTGCCTGAAATCATTTCATTACTGAACTGGATAACATCTTCAGTTCAAGTGATGCAAGATTTGCTCTCTGTAAATAGTAGCTTGGTGAGAGTGTAGAGGTCCCCCCCCCCTTTGGTACTTTATCCTAATTGGGGTGCTATTTTCTGCTTATTTGTCTAGTATTAGTCCTTGCTTATCTCTGTGTTGGCAGCTTAAGAGGAGGCTTTCTGGAGTTTTTGTTTTTTTCCTAGCTTTTTTTATTGTCTCTTTCAAATGGGTGTAAATATGGTTTATTTCTATGATGGCAGATTTGATGGATGATTTGTCTGGATGCCAGGCTTCTGGGAATTCCTTAGAGTTGGATTTAGATGGTTCTGGTAGACTCAGTTTCCTAGTTGAAACTATGGTTAAGCTGACAGTGTGGTTTGACTGCAAGTTTAGGTAGTTTAGGTTTAGGTAGTTTATTTATATGCCGCCCTTTTCCCTGGGGGGACTCAGGGCGGCTCACAATTCGGAAGGAAGGGAGGACAAACAGATTAAGCACATAAGACAGTACATCATTAAAAGCACAACATTCATACAATTCGGGTGGGTTGCGATTTTTAGCCCCAGGCCTGTCGGGACAGCCAGGTTTTAAGGGCTATGTGGAAGAT